CACACTCCTCTATTTATCATGGTCAGTGGCTGCGGCTGCTGACATTCGGTATTTCACTCATAACTTTGAAAAACCACGTAAGAACTTAATTTTCAGAAACAAGGTCAAGAAATAGAGTAAAAAAAGGGTTCAGTGATGGAACTGATGGACTAATGTTATCTCTTTTGTGCCTAGCTGTCTCCCAAGAAGACTTGGGAAGGGTTCATTGGAGGCTTCTTTTCCACAGTTGTATTTGGATTCATTGTAAGTAACCACAGGACGTTGACAGAACCACAGAATGGTTAAGGTTGGAAGGGACCTGAAAGATCATCTCATTCCAACCCACTTGCCAGGAGCAGGGTCATCTTCCACTGGACAAGGTTGCTCAGAGCCCCATCGAGCCTGGCTTTGAACACTTCTGGGGATGAGAATTTCCTTGGAGAGATTCAGTCTTCAACTGCACTGGAAGATGCTGTCCCAGGTTGCCCAGGGAGGCTGTGGCTGCCCCAAGCCTGGCAGTGTTCACAGCCAGGTTGGCTGAGCCTTGAGCAACCTGCTCTGGTGGGAGGTGTCCCTGCCCAGGGCAGGGGTTGGGGCTGGAGGATCTCTAAGCTCCATTCCAACTCCTAAAATTCTAGGATTCATATATTTACTTGAAGTAAAATTACTGATCAATTCAGTTATCTCAAGCTGCTGAAAGCTTAAGAGTTAGGGTGGGTTTTTTTTTGGCTAGAGAATTCTGGCAATTCATGACTAGATGGAAAGAGTAGGTAAAACTTGTACCTTTCCTGAATAGGTTATATTGACCATGTTTTGCCATTATTGTTACTTGATCTGCAATAGTTTTATCTATTAGTTGCATCCCTGTTTTGAAATTAAAGATAATTTATACCATTATTTATGCTTTGCAAAGTAGGACTTTGGTATGACGTACTTCTCCTGGAAAGCACTTTGCACTGATGATATGCACAGAAGATAAAAGCAGCATAAGTAACTGTTGTAATAAGTAATCTAACTCATAATAGCCAAACTTGGTAGAAGAGATAGTTCAGGTTTTAATGGAGAAGTGAACTACAAAACATTATGAGTGTCTAATGTTTGGGGATTTTATAGTGCAGAAATGTCCAGTAGAAGTGAATCTGGGAGATATGAAAAGGAAAACAATTTGGGAAGCCATCACTGAGAGCATTGACTCTCTGCCTTGTCCAGGCATTCTCCACTTTAAATGGGCTGATTTTAGCTCTTTCTGGGTCTCTTTCTTATTAGAAGGATTTTTATTACCCTAAGCTTATGGTAAGGCCATTCATTAAAGTATGATTTTTGCCTGTAACAACGAACACCTAGTTCAGGAATCCTTGTTTTGCTTTTCAGTTTTCCTACTTTTTGGCTCAGCATCAGTACTTTGTCTGCCCTGTGGAATATAACAGTGAAACCAACAGATTTGTGACAGAGTGTGAACCTTCAGAGCTGTTTCAAATGAAGAAGTATTCTGTGCCACCACTGCTTCAGGCTGTGTTGGGATGGGTAAGGAGGAAACCAAGGCTTTGGTGAAAGTTCAAATCATACTTACCAGCTTGAATGGGTTTCTAAACCATTTTAGAAGGGGATCTGAATGCTGGTAAAGCTTGAAGGGTAAGAACTGATTTGATACCTTGAGCCTCTCTGTTCTCACATGGGGGGGATGGTCACCCAAGCAGGACTGGAATATGTTGCTGGAGTCACCTGAGGGAACCTGCCTGTGTCCTTGTGGCCTGTATTCTCTTTGTGCTGGAAATAGATGCCTCTTAAGGCAGACAAACCTATTTTTGAAGAGCAACCTTGAATTTTTTGTGGCAATCAGACAAAGGCTTGTTATGGCCCAAATTAGCAGCAAGCTTAAGTAAGCTTGTAGAACTTCATTCTATACGAGTGGTGTCCCTCAGGGGTCAGTGCTGGGGCTGATACTGTTCAGCATCTTTGTCAGTGACATGGAGAGTGGGATTGAGTGCACCCTCAGCAAGTTCTCTGACCACGCCAAGTGTGTGGGGCAGTCCCAGCTGGAGGGAAGGGATGGCACATCCAGAGGGACCTGGACAGGCTGGAGAGGTGGAACAATGCAAACCTCATGGAGTTCAACAAAATGAAGTGCAATGTCCTACATCTGGGCCATGGCAATCCCAGGCACAGCTCCAGGTTGGGTGGGGAAGGAATTGAAACCAGCAAAGCAATGAGGGACTTGGGAGTGACAGTGGATGAGTGACACCATGAGCTAGAGTTGTCTTTAAAATGTTTAAGCTTAAAATGCCTACAAATCAAACATATATACATTCTAAATTCCTTTTCTTGCAGGAAACAGTGAATATGTACCCGTTTCAGATGCACAGCTTTGCACTGTCAACGTTTGCCTCATTAATTGGGCCATTTGGAGGGTTCTTTGCCAGTGGCTTCAAGAGAGCTTTCAAAATCAAGGTGTGTGATGAATCCTGTAAGCCAGTGTTGGTTTGCTTTTCTCTTTGAACAAGATAAATTGGTGGGTAGAGTTTGGGGTTCTTTTAGTTATTCATTGCAGTATCTAGAGTTTCTACTATGGTGAGATGTTTGAACTGTTTTTAGCAGGACTTAGTTTTACCAGACATATATATGTATGTTATTCCTCAAACTTGGCGTAATCAAATGACTTTAGTGATGGAAATCTATGACTAATTTGATCTCAGAGTCTGGTTGATAATTGCTCTTCCAAGCCATATTGCAAAAGAGGTTTAGACAAGCAAGATGTGAGATATTCTGCTGGACACGCAAGGCATCTGTAGATGCCTAGGAAGTGCCAACAGCTGTTTACCCTTCAGGTCGTGGCTGGCTGAGTTTTACCCATGGTATTTGTGTTGTACTGCTGTGTCAGGGCCACCAAAGCATGAGATGTTTGGCTGCCTTTGCCAATACAGTGCTGCCTTGTGACAGGAGTGTGTATTGGCAAGTGATGTGATGTGCTAACCTCTGTTTATTGCAAGGTGTGCGCTGTCGCTTGTGGCAGTGTTGTCCCTGGCTGGTATTAAGTGGCAGCAGGACTATGGGAAGAGGGCAGCCCCAAATTTTCTCCCGACCTTCCTTATGTCTTGGTAGGACTGCTGTAATTCTTATCCTGTTGCTTGTTGTTGTTGTCGTTCCATGTGTCCAACAAACTGGCATGTGCTTTGCACAGAAGCGTATAAACCTGTCTTGTTTGTGCTGAATTCCTCTACATGTGCTTGTACTTACCCCTCTTCTTTATGGCCCTGGCACTTGGCTAGTAGCCACGGCCTCGTGTGCTGTCCTACCTGTAGCAAAGGCTGTGTCAAGAAGTGCCATGAGGAGAGGCTGAGGGAGCTGGGAGTGTTCAGCCTGGAGAAGAGGAGGCTCAGGGGAGACCTTCTCACCCTCTGCAACTCCCTGAGAGGAGGTTGGAGTCAGGTGGGGGTTGGTCTCTTCTCCCAGGCAACCAGCAGCAGGACAAGAGGGCACAGACTCAAGCTCTGCCAGGGGAGGGTTAGGTTGGAGATTAGGAAGAGGTTTTTTACAGAGAGAGTGCTCAGACATTGGAATGTGCTGCCCAGGGAGGTGGTGGATTCACCATCCCTGGAGGTTTTCAAGCTGAGACTGGATGTGGCACTTAGTGCCATGGTCTAGTGACCATGGTAGGGTTGG